GGTCATGAGTTTTTTGGCCCTAGAAATTAATGAAAATTATCTGCAAATATCTGGAAGAGGTTGTAATCTGTATCAGTGAAGCAAGGTCTGCCCATAGATAAAGTCATAGATCCCTAAAGACAAAATAAATATAAAATCTTAGACTATCAGAGCTGGGAGGGAGCCTTAGAAGGCATCTCCAAGCTTTCCCCTCCTCCCACAAAACTGCTTCCAAAGTTGCCGCCTTGTGGCTGGTCCTGAGAAAATGCAGGAAGTACTATGGTCAGTTTTCATTGATTCATTAATTCTTTCTGATTTTAGGTGATGGAGTAGGTTTAGCTTGGCTGGGTCTGAGGGAAATTTCTGCACCATTGATTGTCTGTGAAGTTCTGTAACATATCCAGCCCTTGAGTTGGTTTCTATCTCGTTTGGCAAAGAGATATTGAAATACATCTCCAGAAGCTCTCCTCTTTCTCACTAGGGATGCTTGCTGGATCATTCACGATCACACTCCTTGTTATCTAATAAGGCAGCTTTTTCCACTGGGTAACATTATCTAAAAGTACAGTCATCTTTTTCTTGTGAATGACACCCTTGGTGAGAACATTTAAAGTTTTGATGCAATATACCTATTTTGGTCCTTAGGACATTTCTTTCTAATTCTTTAGCTTCCAGAGTGAATTCTGGACCATTTACTTAGTTCAGGCTTAATAAGACCCTTGTTCTTCTGCAGCAGTGATATCAAACTCAAATAAAAATGGGGACCACTAAACCATTAAAAAGAATCCCTATAAGCTACATATTAACTTAGAAAACCACATATTAGGGGCAGCTAGGTGGCTCAGTGGATAGAGCACCGGCCCTGTAGTCAGGAGGACCTGAGTTCAAAACCGGCCTCATGCACATAATACTTCCTGGCTGTGTGACTCTGGGCAAGTCACTTAACACCAATTGCCTCACTAAAAAAACAAAAAAAGAGAAAACCACATATTAACATTTATATTCTATTTTGTTCTTAATTATTTTGTTAAATATTTCCCAATTACATTTTTATCTGGTTCTGCACTCCATATGTTTGACACCTCTTTTCTGGAAGACCCTTAGAAAGGGAGCAGGCACCCTTTTGTATTGAATCTAGATGTTATGTAATCAGGGAGGTGGCAGCTGCTGCCAATAGCCCTAAGGAGGGAGCCAGCCTCTCTTCCATTCTTCATTCTGTCTTTGGGCAGGAGAGAGAAGCAATGAGACTCACTACCTCTGGGCTAAATTGGCCCTTTTTTGGTAGCTGCAGAACCGAGCGTACTGATAGAAGGGAGAATTAGTCATGTGAGATCCCTGCATGTCTGAGCTGAACAGCTCTGGGGAGCCTTGTGTTTCCTTGGTGGCTTCCTTGTGTGTCTGTGTTTTTGTTCCTCTGAGTTAGGTTTGACCCTGGGGAAGTAAATCTTATACACCAGGCTAGAGTATGAGCCACCTGTAGTCTTAGGCATGGAAAATATTGAAGAGTTTGGGCAGTGATGACTGTGTCAGCAGGAGATAATAACTTCTGAAACTGAACCCAAATATTCCTGTTCTGCTGGGATTGCCTATATCAGAGACTTCCAGGATGTTGGCCGTCAAAGGTTGGGAGACCGTGACCCTAGATATGGAAGAATGGTATGTGGAATATGGAAGAATGTATTGTGTATTGTGTATTGATCACCTGATCAATGTCAGAAGCCAGGATCCAAACCAACTCTGTCTCTACTCCCACCCTTACCCCCAAAAAGGCATCCACAGCTATGCAGATAAGTGAGTGACCTGGTAGTATAATTATTTGTATAATTATATATTAATATAATATATAATATATATAATTAATATATAATTATATTATAGTATAAGAATTTTGGGAAGTAGCCAAGACTTAAGTCTATGATGACATCCAGTTGCGGAGGAGACTTCCAGTAAGGTCTTTCTGTAAACCATTGGCATAGCGTTCTAGAACTCCAGGCTACATCAATCAAATACTACCTGTATCACATCTTTAAAAATGGGAAAGGCTTTTTGCTTGAGTCTAGTCTCAGACCATTCGTCTATTGTTTGAAGACCATCGTAGGTAAGTGTGGAGAGGCTAATGAGATGACACAGGTTGTTGTTTTTTTTTGTTTTTTTTTTTGTTTTTTTTTTACCATGCCAACTCACAGCTTAGCTGTGACATGTGTTTGTGGAAGGTGTGTCCATATTGGGGAAATATCAGATCCTTGAACTGATGAAGCTATTAGCTTCAGGAGGGAACTCTGGATTACTTAGTTCAGGCTTTAAAAAGGTCCTTGTTCTTCTGGAAAGCCCTTGGGTTGATGGGAACAATCAGTCTTTTGTATTGAAACTAGACTTTAGAATCAGGGAGGTAGCAGCTGCTGCTAATAGCCCTAATGAGGGCACCAGTCTCTCTTCCACTCTTGAGTATGTCTTTGGACAGTAATATAGAAGAGGTGAGATACAGTAACTAGTGGGTAGAAAAGGGAGGAGTCAAGAAATTTTTAACCTAACTGATGGGGAAGATAATAAATCAAGAAAAGCCCAGAGGATGCATGGTTTTGTTGTTGTTTAGGTGGTTTTTTTTTTTTAGGGGGAAGGGGGGAGATAATGCTTGCTTTTAGATATTCCACTGTGATTTATAATTTATAACTAGATTTCATAGATACTATCTCATTTGACCATCTCAACAACTATATGATACAAGTAGTCAAGAAGAGAAAGATGATATTGTCCTTCTTTTGCTGGTGGGGAAACTGAGGCTGATTGGTCACAGAATCGTAGATTTAGAGCTAGAAGAGCACTCAGGTGCCCTCTAATCCACCTCCCTCATTTTGCAGATGAGAAAACTAAGGTCTGAGGAGTCTTGGTAACTTGCCCAAGGTCATGTAAGCATGGAATTCAAACCCATGTCTTCTGGCTCCAAACTGAGACTTCTTTTCATTGGACTGAACTGAAGAGGCTTGCTCAGCCAGATCACTAATATAATAAAAACTGACATTTAGATAGCACTTTTAAGTTTGCAGAGTGTCTTACATACATTATCTCATTTGAGTCTTTCAACAGCCCTGTGGGGTAGGTGCTATAGGTATAATCATCCTAATTTTATAGATGAGGAAACTGAGGCTGAGAAGTTAAGTGACCTGCTCAAGGTTACCCAGTTAGTAAAATTTCAGAAGTAGGATTTGAACGTAGGTCTTCCTGAGTTCAATTCCAGTGTTCTATCCATGATACCACACTCCCTTTAATCAATAGCACAACCAGGGATTTTGCCCTCATCTCCAGACTCCAGGTCCAGGAATCTTTCTACTAGAGTCTGCTCCTTTCGTTAGTCTCTCAGCCCAGGCCTGGAGGTGGAGGGGAAACTGGAGTGTGAAGGGTATTTCTTTCCTACTACCTGTTGCTTGGCCTGAGAGAAAGGGGGTAGAAGCTGATAAGGGGTCAGTCCCCCAACCCTGTGGAAGTGGGAGGATGGAGCTAAAATCCAAAGGAGAGCCCAGCGCTCTACCCTCCCCTCTCTCCCACTGAGCACTTGGGATGTGTTTCATTACATTTGGTAATTCAGTTCTAATCAATACATGGGCAGCTAACCTTGGAGTTGTCCTTGACTCATGACTTTTCCTCTGCAACCTCACTTGACCAAGATAGAGACTACAATAATAGCTCTAGGGCTGTTCAGAGCCCTTCAGTAGCTTCTCACCACCTACTGAATAGTGCCTCAAGTCCCAAAGCGGACATCCAAGGCTTCCTGCCAGGTTCCCACCTTGCCAGCCTTATAATAACAGCAACTTACTATTCTGCAGCATTTTAAGGTTTATGAGGCACTTTCTTCACAAGATTCCCATTTTATTTAAGGAAAATTGAGGCTCAATAAGGTGCCTGTGGACTCCATTCTCCAGAATCTAGTGTTCTTTCTACTGTATCATTTCCTATCTGGTGCTACATCCCTTCATGTACGCTTTGCAACAGCCAAACTAGACTCTTTATCCCCCCTGCATGCCCCTTGTCTTTCTACATCTATGCTTTTGCTTGTACTGTTTCCCTATCCTTGAATTGATTTCTCTCCCAATCACCATCTCTTGAAATTTTCTCCATTCATTCTTCAAATACTAGCTCAAATGTTACTTCTTCCAGGAAGCCTAATGCTGTTATAGGCTATTCTACCTTATGGTTATTTTGTAGTTAGTGTATGTTTGTGTACAAATCATAACCCCGTACAAGATTATAAACACCTTGAAGTCAGGGGACTCTCATTGTTTCCCCAGTGATTAGCCCGGTGTCCGGCACGTAGTAGGCACTTAAGAAGTGTTTGTTGAATTGAATTGAAAAAGGTAAGCGCTGTTTGCACAGAAGAGAGTTGGACTTGAGGTTGGGAGATCTGGATTCAAATCCTGATTCTGCCACTTAACAGCTGTGTGATTTTGAGGAAGTCATTTCACTTCTCTGAATTTCAGTCTTTTTATCCATAAAATGGGGTTAATAATACTTTCACTCAAGAGCTGTTGTGAGGGAAGCATTTTTAAAATATTAATACACCACAGAAATGTGACTTATTATTTATCTTTGTGTCTTTTCCCAGAGCATAGGGCTCCCCATAAAGCAAACAATGTTTTTTGAATGAATAACTTAAGTTTAAAATGGTTACTTCAGTTTTGTCCAAGGCAAAAACCGAGTTTCACCTTTAACACTTCAACACTAGCCATGTTATCATGAGCAAGCCACTTCCTTCTCTAAGCCTCAGTTTCCCCATTTGTAAAATGGGGATGATAACACGGTACTAAGCCCAGTGATGGTTAAGAAGAAAGTGTATCACCCATGTTAAAGGATTATAGAAATGAGAGTTGTGTGAATAGCATGGGTTTTCTCTCAAAGTCCACTGAGTCTACTGAGAGTGAAGATGAAGCATTCTTAGGCATCAGTGGCTTCATGCCTCCTTTGAGGTGGAGGCTCCTGGAGCCCTTAGTACGGGCTATAAATGGCTTCTGGTTTGTTCTTTCCTTCAGAAAATGAGCCTCCCTCCCCTCTGGTTTCTGGGATCATCGACTACAACATGCCCCTCACCTCGACATACCTGAAGCAGATGAAGCTACGGGTAATGAATTCCCAGGAGCAGGTGAGTAGCCATCTTCAGAGAGGGTTGGTTAGAGAACATCAGGCAGAAATGTCTCCCTTCCCTGGACCTGCCAGGTACATTGTATCACCCTAAAAGAGACAAAAGACCAAGGCCTGTGAAGACTGACTGAAAATCGAAGAGGTTGCTAGTCTGTTATCTTGGAAAGACAGTCAAAGCTAAAAGACATGGAAGAAGGCAAGGGAGGAATGTATTCCTAGTTAACTGGTCTGCTGGGCAGAATTCCCTGATGGTCAGGAGGAGAATTATTCCAGTGAAATCCACGGAATTCATATTCCCACCCACCTCTGCATACCTTCTCAGACAATTATTAATAAGAAGGGATCAGGAAGTTAGAATTTTGAGTATTCAGTTTGCCTTTTAACAAGTGTCAGAGCTGAGAGGGACCTTAGAACATAGAGTGTGAAACCTGGAAGGGACCTTGAAACATAGAATGTTAAAGCTAGAAGGAGACTTAGCAATCACAGAATCGTATCTGGAAGGAACCTCAGAAGACATCTTATTGCATCTTCTCATTTTATAGATGAGAAAATTTGCTCAAGGCCGTATACCTAGTAAGTGGCAAAACTAGAACTCATGCCCAGGTATCTGGTGTTTTTTCCACTGAACAGCTATGTGTTGCAGTGGATAGAGCACTGGGCCCGGAGTCAGAAAGACCTGAGTTCAAATCCAGCCCCAGACACTTACTAGCTAAGTGACCCAGGGTAAGTCACTTAACCTCTTTCTGCCTCGGTTTCCTCATCTGTAAAATAGGGATAACAATAGCAACTACCTCATGGGATTGTTGTAAGGATCAAAAGAGATGGTATTTGTAAAATGCTTTGCAAACCTTAAAACACTGTATAAATGCTAGCTATTATTAAACCATAATTCTGTCTTATAACAGTAATAATAAAAACTCACACTGCTATAATGCTTTACACTTTAAAAGCGCTTTTCTTACAGCCAACCTATAAGGCAGTACAAGTATTATTATACCCATTTTATAGATAACGAAATTGTGACTTTGAATTTGTGAAGTGAATTTCCTACTGATTGAACAACTCATAAGTGTTAGAGGCAGTATTCACACCTTGGCCTTCTGACTCCAGGCATGGTATTCTTTCCATTACCCCTCACTGCCTCATTCATCTGAGACAGAATGAAAGAGGAGACTCTGAGCACTTCTGTGCGCTCTTTTCCTCAGGGAGTCAGGAGAAGTATGGTCTACTCTAGAGGCTTGAGACTGGGAGAGTGGACCTCAGAGGATGGCTTGAAAATGCTCTAGGGCCCCCAAGCTGTCCAAGCCTCCCCAGCTGTGGTTTATTCAGGGCTTTTCAGGGCACCCTGGAAACAGGCTATAAAAAGAAAAAAAAAGCACACATACTTTACTATCTATTCACAAAGCCAACCCTACAGCCCTCAGCAAAGTGAGGGCTTGGCTTTTCATGTCCAGCAGAGTGCAAGGTGGGGGGTGCATCTTGTTTATAGGTTTTTCCACTGTGACCTGGCCCATCATAGGAAAATAACCATGTCTTGCATTTTAAAGTATGTTTACATCCATTTTCTCAGTTGCTCCTCTTAACAGCTCTGGTACAGACTGAAGGGGCAGGGATTACTACCACTTCCACTTTATAGATGGGGAAACTGAGACTCCATGATGGTTATGTGATTTGCTTGTGGTCACAAAGCTGAGAAGTATAGCTAGTAAGTATTAGAGCAAGGACTTGAACCCAGATCTCCTGATCCCAAGTCCAGCATTCTTTCTACCTTTTTCAATCAGAGTTGGGAAAAACCTTACAACACAGAACATAAAAGGTCAAAGCTCAAAGGAGCCTTAGAATATAGAATGTAAAAGAGAGAAGGAACTCTAGAGGTTATCTAGTCTAACCTTTATTAGTTGACAAAGGAGAAAATTGACGCCTAGAAAAGGAAAGGGACCTGGCAATTCATTTGTAGTTTTGGTACTAGTGATCAAGTTTTTTGACTCTGAATCCCAGTGTTTGTTTTCTTTAAAACAGACACACAGACACAGACAGACAGACAGACACACACACACACACACACACACACAATTTTATTGACACCTTTTGACTTTATTTCACATAATATCCAAGCTGCACCCCTCCACCACCACCACCACCACACACACACATTCCAGGTTGAACAATCCCTTGTGACAAAGATCCAGGACTCTTTCCACACCCTTTGCTGACTCCTAGAATGATGCGCTGATACATATTTGGTCCAGGTTGGACTCAGATGCTTTTTGAGGCCCTTTCCAGTTTTGAGATCTCATGATTTTGTAATCTCAGTGCTCCTTGTTCCATTGTATCCATGTGCAGAGGATAGATTATAACATTTTCCATACAGAAAATACAAGATTGGCTCCCAGTCCTGAACCCATAGAAAGATAGTAACTAATAATTTCAGGTTTGGGAGAGACTTAAAATCCAGTCTATACCTGAAGAAGAATCCTTATTCCAACATCCCTGACAAATGGTCATCTAGCTTCTGTTTGAAGTCTTTCAGTGAGGGGGAACCCACTCTCTCCTGAAGTGGCCCAGACCACTAATAGCCCTCTCTGACCATTAGGAAGCTCTTCCTGACATGAAGTCTAAATTTGCTTTTTGGCAGCTTCTGCCCATTGTTTCTAATGCTGCTCTTTGAGGCCAAACAGAATGAATCTGTTACCTCTTTCATGTAACAGCCTATCGGATACTTGAAGACAGCTGTTGTGTCTCCCCTGAGTCTTCTCATCTCCCGGTTAAATATCCCCAATTTCTTCATCTGATCCTCATTTGGCATGAACTCAGGGCCCTGTTATTTTCATTGCACCACATTATTCTTCCACTCTACCCATTCAAAAGTGAGGAAGTGGAATCAGAACCCCTAGAAGACGAGTGCACCCCTTACCCTTACCCTCCTCTTGTCTTACTTACATGTGAACCAAGGTCACTCTGTAAAAGCCCAGTTTAAATAGAATAGGTGTTTTCTTTGGGAAATTAAGCCTAAAACATAAATGGAGAAGGACCTCTACTATTACTGTTGTTATTATGACTCAGATTTACATAGTACTTTGTAGTTTACCCTTTCCTCACTCCACCAGTCCTAAAGAACTGTACCTAAAAATCCATGGTGCGGCCGAAAGAAAGTTGAACCGGAGATGGGGATGTTGGACCTGATTAGTCCACTCTGTCACTGAGTCCGTGTGTGACCATGGACAAGTCACTTCCCTTTTATGAGTTGTGATTTTCACCTCTGGAAAAGAAAGTACCTATTTTATAATTAGAAGAAATGGTTTAAATCCCAATACTGATCTTTACTAGATTTATAACATATAGGTAGATCTTCTCTCTGAGCCTCAAGTCTCCTCATCTGTAAAACAGGGATGATAATGATGCTTAACAGTACCCATCTCAGCTTCACTAGGACTACCTGAGGAAAGTACTTTATAAACCTTAAAGAGCTATAGAAAGTGAACTATAATGATGATTTCAACTCTGAATTTCTTTGATTCTGTGAAGTAGGGAGCTGCTGTCTATTGGGGCTATCTTTATAAGTTGCTCAAGGTCTAGAAAGCTTGGTTGGCTATAATGAGGAAGAGACATTTGGTTTCATAGTCACCACACATGCAGTGTGGAATTCCATCCCCTACACACATCTCAAACACATTACACCCCAAAATAGAAGCTATTCAGACTTCCCAGTCAGCCTTGCAGGGGAGACAGATTATGGCCTGTACTTCAGTATACTTCCTTGCTCTCATTAATGTGAGTACTTCCTCCACCAGGGCAGCTTCTGGGCTTTCCATGCCTTTTTTATCTTGTGGCATTCTTGACCATCTTTTTCTAGAACTCTTCCATACAGAATCCACCTAATTAGGGGCCTTGCTCTGATTCTTTGATTTACAGTTAGCAGTAACACTGGGGTCACCCATCTGTTATACAAATAATAACAAGATTTTTATTTATAAATCACTTTAAGGTTTGCATAGCATTTTACATACATTTTCTCCTACCTGTATCCCATTCTTCCTCAATCTATTTTGCTGGGTCATTTTCCTTCTGACCACTAAATGTGGGCACCCCCTAAGAGTCTTTGCTTTGAGTCCTCTTCTCTTCTCTTCCTATCCTTTCTCTCAGTGATTTATCACTTGTCCTGGGTTCATATATCACCATTATGCACATGCAGCTCAGATCTATATGTCCAGCCCTAACTTTCTCTTGTGAACAGCAATCCTGCTTGCTAAACATCTCCACTTGGGTGTTGTTTAAGTACGTCAAACTCAACACGTCCAAAACAGAACTCATTTGATTTCTTCCTAAACCTATTCCTCCTTCACACTTGATGGTTTCTGTGAACGGCATCACCATCCTTCCAGTTATTCAAGTTTACAGGCTTGGAGTTATCCTAGACTCCTCCTTCTCTCTCAGCCCCCACGTTTAATCAATAGCCAAGTCTTGTTCCTGTCTATGTTGACAGTCTTCCCATTTGTCCCTTTCTTTTTGCTCATATAGCCTCTTTGGTAGTTCAGGCCTTTATCACCCCTTGCCCAGACTATTGCAATAGCTTCTTATTTGTTCTGCTTACTCCTAGTCTTCCCCTTCTGCAATTTATTCTCCACACAACTGCCAAATCAATATTCCTAGAACTTAGAACTGACCATGTCATCTCCCTATTCAAAAATCTTCTTTGTTTCCCTAAAGTCACTAGGATAAAGCATAAAATCCTCAGCCTGGCATCTAGATTTCTACACAATGTGACTCCTGCCTACATTTCCAGTCCTGTTTCATATGACTGACCTTCATATATCCTCTTCCAGTCAAACTGGTCCATTATCTATTCTTAATATGAAACATTAGATATCCTGCCTCTATGCAGGAAAGTGACACATCACTGCCCATCTCTGGAATGTGCTTTCTTTTCACCTCAGTCTCTTGAATATCTAGTTTTCACCAAAATACAGCTCAAGTTTGTTATTCAGCTATTTTTCAGTCATG